GATTATTCGATTTTTCAAGTTCTCGGTTTAGATTTTTTGGTTTTACAATTCTTCGATTTTTAAATTGTTTAATTTTTAGATCGTTCAATTTCTCGATTTTTAGATTTTTCAATTTTTCAGTTTACCGATTTTTTTTCATTTAAAATGTTTCAATTTTTCAATTATTAACTTTTCGATTTTTCAATTTTCGTCTAATTTGATTTCTTAATTTTTTGATTTTTTGTCTCCACTACTGTTGATGTTATGATTTCTCGATGTTTCAGTTTTTGAACATTCCGATGTTTCAATTTTTGGACTTTTCGACTTTTCGAGTGTTCAATTTTTCGATTTCTGAATTTTTCAATGTTTCAGTTTTGGATTTTTTCACTTTTCCGATTCTTCAATTTTCCTTCCATTTTTCAGTTTTTCAGTATTTCGGTTCTGGGATTTTGCAATGTTTCGGTTCTTCAATTTTTCCATTTTTTGATATTTCGGTTTCTCGGTTTTTCAATTTTTCTATAGGTATTTTAATTTTTCAATTTTTAATTTCTAGATTTTCCGTTAATTTTTTTGTTTTCCTTGATGTTTTGAGATGTCGATTATTCGATTTTTCCAGTTCTCGGTTTAGATTTTTTGGTTTTCCAATTCTTCGATTTTTGAATTTTTTAATTTTTAGATCGTTCAATTTCTCGATTTTTAGATTTTTCAATTTTTCGGTTTACCGATTTTTTTTCATTTAAAATGTTTCAATTTTTCAATTATTAACTTTTCGATTTTTCAATTTTGGTCTAATTTGATTTTTTAATTTTTTGATTTTTTGTCTCCACTACTGTTGATGTTTTGATTTCTCGATGTTTCAGTTTTTGAACATTCCGATGTTTCGATTTTTCGAGTTTTTGGCTTTTCGAGTGTTCAATTTCTCGATTTCTGAATTTTTCAATGTTTCAGTTTTGGATTTTTTCACTTTTCCGATTCTTCAATTTTCCTTCCATTTTTCAGTGTTTCAGTATTTCAGTTCTGGGATTTTGCAATGTTTCGGTTTTTCAATTTTCCCATTTTTTGATGTTTCGATTTCTCGGTTTTTCAATTTTTCGATAGGTATTTTAATTTTTCAATTTTTAAGTTCTAGATTTTCCGTTTATTTTTGTGTTTTCCTTGATGTTTTGATTTGTCGATTATTAGATTTTTCGAGTTCTCGGTTTAGATTTTTTGGTTTTCCAATTCTTCGATTTTTAAATTGTTTAATTTTTAGATCGTTCAATTTCTCGATTTTTAGATTTTTCAATTTTTCGGTTTACCGATTTTTTTTCATTTAAAATGTTTCAATTTTTCAATTATTAACTTTTCGATTTTTCAATTTTGGTCTAATTTGATTTCTTAATTTTTTGATTTTTTGTCTCCACTACTGTTGATGTTATGATTTCTTGATGTTTCAGTTTTTGAACATTCCGATGTTTCGATTTTTCGACTTTTTGGCTTTTCGAGTGTTCAATTTTATGATTTCTGAATTTTTCAATGTTTCAGTTTTGGATTTTTTCACTTTTCCGATTCTTCAATTTTCCTTCCATTTTTCAGTTTTTCAGTATTTCAGTTCTGGGATTTTGCAATGTTTCGGTTCTTCAATTTTTCCATTTATTGATATTTCGATTTCTCGGTTTTTCAATTTTTCGATAGGTATTTTAATTTTTCAATTTTTAAGTTCTAGATCTTCCGTTAATTTTTTTGTTTTCCTTGATGTTTTGATTTGTCGATTATTCGATTTTTCAAGTTCTCGGTTTAGATTTTTTGGTTTTCCAATTCTTCGATTTTTAAATTGTTTAAATTTTAGATTGTTCAAATTCTCGATTTTTAGATTTTTCAATTTTTCGGTTTACCGATTTTTTTTTTCATTTAAAATGTTTCAATTTTTCAATTATTAACTTTTCGATTTTTCAATTTTGGTCTAATTTTATTTCTTAATTTTTTGATTTTTTGTCTCCACCACTATTGATGTTATGATTTCTCGATGTTTCAGTTTTTGAACATGCCGAAGTTTCGATTTTTCGACTTTTTGGCTTTTCGAGTGTTCAATTTTTCGATTTCTGAATTTTTCAATGTTTCAGTTTTGGATTTTTTCACTTTTCCGATTCTTCAAATTTCCTTCCATTTTTCAGTCTTTCAGTATTTCAGTTCTGGGATTTTGCAATGTTTCGGTTCTTCAATTTTTCTATTTTTTGATATTTCGATTTCTCGATTTCAATTTTTCGACAGGTATTTGAATTTTTCAATTTTTAAGTTCTAGATTTTCAGTTAATTTTTTTGTTTTCCTTGATGTTTTGATTTGTCGATTATTCGATTTTTCAAGTTCTCGGTTTAGATTTTTTGGTTTTCCAATTCTTCGATTTTTAAATTGTTTAAATTTTAGATTGTTCAAATTCTCGATTTTTAGATTTTTCAATTTTTCGGTTTACCGATTTTTTTTTTCATTTAAAATGTTTCAATTTTTCAATTATTAACTTTTCGATTTTTCAATTTTGGTCTAATTTTATTTCTTAATTTTTTGATTTTTTGTCTCCACCACTATTGATGTTATGATTTCTCGATGTTTCAGTTTTTGAACATGCCGAAGTTTCGATTTTTCGACTTTTTGGCTTTTCGAGTGTTCAATTTTTCGATTTCTGAATTTTTCAATGTTTCAGTTTTGGATTTTTTCACTTTTCCGATTCTTCAAATTTCCTTCCATTTTTCAGTCTTTCAGTATTTCAGTTCTGGGATTTTGCAATGTTTCGGTTCTTCAATTTTTCCATTTTTTGATATTTCGATTTCTCGGTTTCAATTTTTCGACAGGTATTTGAATTTTTTAATTTTTAAGTTCTAGGTTTTCCGTTAATTTTTTTGTTTTCCTTTTTCAATTATTCGATTTTTCGAGTTCTCGGTTTAGAATTTTTGGTTTTCCAATTCTTCGATTTTTAAATTGTTTAATTTTTAGATTGTTCAATTTCTCGATTTTTAGATTTTTCAATTTTTCGGTTTACCGATTTTTTTTCATTTAAAATGTTTCAATTTTTCAATTCTTAACTCTTCGATTTTTCAATTTTGGTCTAATTTGATTTCTTAATTTTTTGATTTTTTGTCTCCACCACTGTTGATGTTTTGATTTCTCGATGTTTCAGTTTTTACACATTCCGATGTTTCGATTTTTCGACTTTTCGGCTTTTCGAGTGTTCAATTTTTCGATTTATGAATTTTTCAATGTTTCAGTTTTGGATTTTTTCACTTTTCCGATTCTTCAATTGTCCTTCCATTTTTCAGTTTTTCAGTATTTCACTTCTGGGATTTTGCAATGTTTCGGTTCTTCAATTTTTCCATTTTTTGATATTTCGATTTCTCGGTTTTTCAATTTTTCGATAGGTATTTTAATTTTTCAATTTTTAAGTTCCAGATTTTCCGTTAATTTTTTTGTTTTCCTTGATGTTTTGATTTGTCGATTATTCGATTTTTCGAGTTCTCGGTTTAGATTTTTTGGTTTTCCAATTCTTCGATTTTTAAATTGTTTAATTTTTAGATTGTTCAATTTCTCGATTTTTAGATTTTTCAATTTTTCGGTTTACCGATTTTTTTCATTTAAAATGTTTCAATTTTTAATTATTAACTTTTCGATTTTTCAATCTTGGTGTAATTTGATTTCTTAATTTTTTGATTTTTTGTCTCCACTACTGTTGATGTTTTGATTTCTCGATGTTTCACTTTTTGAACATTCCGATGTTTCGATTTTTCGACTTTTTGGCTTTTCGAGTGTTCAGTTTTTTGATTTTTGAATTTTAGAATTTTGTTTATTGGATTTTTTTGGTGTTTCGATTTCCCAATTCTTCAATTTTTCGATATTTTAATTTTTCAATTTTTCGAATTTTTAAATTTTTTGATTTTTTAAATTTTTTGATTTTTTAATGTTTCGATTCTTATTAGTTGTTTACACTTTTCTGTACTCTTGGTTTTTATTTGTTATCCCTCCTTTTAGAGGAATCCATGGATATCCAACGGCCATGAAGAAAACAAAATTTTTCTCTGGTCAGTTTGTTGTAAGTTTCTCGAATAGTCTAATCATATTGAGCAGCTTAGCACCAGGAGTATCACATCAAAGTACCGTAGCGAAAATTGAAAAATGGAGCAAGATTAGAGAATAACAAAAGACAAATTGGTGGTTCTAGAACGACGACAGTTATTTCAATTCAGTTGACCTCCATGAACTTCAGACTATCAATTGTCCAAATATCTTTGGTTGTATTCACAAACATCAACATTAATAAATTCCACTGTATATTAAGTTTGGCACAAACATCATTTTTTGGTTCATAGACTAATTGACATGGATTCGAGGAACAATAAACCAGACACAAAATTACAAGCGTAAGTTTGAAATAAAATAGTAACAATTTTTGTTATATGGATTTTTAGGGCACTAGGTCGCAAATTCGTGGTTAGAAATTCGTACCTCACAGACGTCTTTGAGAAAAGCGAGGCACGAGTTGTCTACAACTTATTCGCAGTATTCGCCATTTCTGCTTTTGTTAGAAAAGGGTACACGGAATATGTGACCGAGGGAAGGTAGTGAACAACGAATTAATTAACAGTTCCAAAAATAAAACCCAATTTTAGGGTACGCTTTGGGTTTGATTTTCTAACACTCATGTTTGTTGACTTTGACAAGACGCTTTTAGTTTGGTCAAGTTGTCTAGGGGCGTCTTGTGCGTGCTTCTTGTGTTTTAGAATCTGGGCCTCCTTCAGGAATTTCAACGAAAGTAAGTTAGCTCATTGTTCGAAACCAATAGGTTCTAGTATTTTAGGTTTTACAAAATTTTGGGACTTGGGTTGGACTACGTTGCTGCTCTTTTATTATTTCTATAGTTTCAAACTAACTGGTGAAGCGCTCCTATTTTACAAACTTCCCCTCGTAGCTCGTTTGTTTTGTGCCCTGGAATCGGTAAGTGAATATTCAGGTGGTCAAAATTTTTCGTAATGTTTAGTTTTAGGTGCGACTGATAATGAAATCGCACTCTTTTGTAAGAAATACGCTTCCAGGGGTAATTCATTACAGTGACCGGCTACACCTTCCAAGCTTTTCCAGTTACGCACGATTTCTCTTCTTACCCACTCTTATTTACCAGAAAAACTACCCTCTAAGAAAAAAAATCAACTGGAAGTTTTTCTTCAAAACTCTAGTCGAATTTGTGGTTGGAATATTTATACTGAGTTTTCGTTTTGAGAAAGGTTCGAGCTTCATACAGGAAACAGGTCTGCGAAAATTCACAGTGACCGAAATTATGCAGGACTTTGTAGAGAACTCTACTGAAGTTGCGTTTTTGATTATGATTGTGCACTATGTTTGTTTGCATTGTATTCAAAACTTATTCGGAGAACTTTTTCGCTTTGGAGATAGGTTGTTCTACACAAACTGGTGGGATTTACTTGATTTGAATACTAGTTTAGTAAAGTGGAATTTAATTGTTGCGCAGTGGATATACTATTATGTTTATTTAGACTTTAAGAATTACGTCTGTGATAACATGTTTGCAATAAGATTGGTATCTTTTGTGCTTTCGTTTGCTGTTCATGAGTGGTTAGGGTACCACTTGTGGAAAACCACCTGTCCACTGTTGTTTATATTTTTTATTTTTATTGTATTTCCCACGTTTTACTTCGAGGTTCCTGACCGCAATGTTTTCGTTATTTTAAATACGTATTTAATTGCTTCGGGTCCAGCTCTTGCAGTACTTTATGGCGTCGAATATTACATTTCCATTAACGTACCATTCGACAATCGATCACGTCTGGAGCAGATGTTTTTGCCCAGGTTTATAAATTACATAACGTGGGAATGATTGGTTTTGTTTTTATGTACAGCATCGACGTACCATTTTGTAACATTTTGTCAAATGTGAGTACCATTTAGGGTAAGCGAAGAAAAATGTTGCTTCTCCGGTGGGAATCGAACTGCACGTTTACCGCTTGCCGGGCGGTGTCCTTACCACTAGACTACGGAGGAGCTTATCTTTATTCGCTTACCATTTCTTATTATTGTGTCGCCACAACCACTTTCTCGGTAAAATATTTGTTATATGTATCTTTAAGTTGTTTTTTTGTTGTACCAAGTGTCCCTAAAAAGTATGTCGTCTGTGTCAATTTTTATTAAATAAATAAATAGTTATTTTTATCTTGGTAGGTAGATATTCGTTTTTCCCATAATTGAACAGTGAACTTCAAAACACCACACAGAGGCAGGCTCGAATATTGTATATAATGTATCCATAACCACTAGATATGGAAAAAAAAACAAAATTTAGGCTAGCCTGAATTTCCGTGCTTGCAGCAGTGACAGATAATAATACTTCAGCACGATGTGACAATGTCTTAAAAGACACAAACTGAATGATAAACAACAGAAAATAAGGAAATTTTTTCCTGAAATTCTTAATTTATTGTTAATCAAAAATAAAATACTCGTAGATTTTCTGGCATAAAAAATTACATATCTTTGCCTTGCTTAATGTTCCCAAAAATCCATTTTTGTCAAAAAATTTCTATGTGAACCCTTAAAAACGCAAGCACGACAGTAATTTTTTTACATTTAGATATGGGGGCATTTTGTGCCTTGCCTCATCAAGTCGTCAGTTCATGTTTTATATATTTTTATTTTCCAACAATTGTTTTTCTCATTGATTATTATTATTTCTCTGGTCCAACATTCTGTACATTGCTCCTTTTGTTTGTTATTTTTGCAGTTCCACAGCTCTTTCTTGCTGCATCCAGCAAGCTATTTATTCGTTCCATTCTTCTTTTAATTCAAACGTTCTGATTCCTATAATTTTGCAATTATTTAGTATCTCTCTCTACCCACCCGCCCCGTATTTTCTCAAAGGAAGTCATTTACCGAAATAAGACTTATGTGAGCAAGTATTAGCCCCGCCCACCCACCCTATGTTTTCTCAGAGGATATGTCATCTGCTAAAATCACACATATCTTACCAAGTACTAGCCCCACCCACCCGCCCTTTATTTTCTTAGAGGTAAGACTTGCTAGTACTTGCTAAGATAAATCTTATTTTGGCAGACGACATATATCCTGAGCAAATAGGGGTGGGTGGGCGGGGCTAGTACTTGCTCTGACAAGACTGATTTTGGCAAACTTCTCACCCTCCGAGAAAATAGAGGACGGGATTTTTAATCGTTACTAGGGAAATTTGCAATTTAAAACTTTTAAATTTCACGGGTTTTTACAAGATTAATAGGGGCAAAATTAGTTTTATCTTAACATGTACTAGGCCTACCCACCCGCCCCGTATTTTCTCAAAGGATGTCATTTGCCGAAATAAGACTTATGTGAGCAAGTACTAGCCCCGCCCACCCACCCCATGTTTTCTTAGAGGATATGTCATCTGCCAAAATCAGTCATATATTACCAAATACTAGCCCCACCCACCCGCCCTTTATTTTCTCAGAGGGTACTGCTTGCTGGTACTTGCTAAGATAAATCTTATGTTGGCAGATGACATATACCCTGAGAAAATAGGGGGGGGGGGCGGGGCTAGTACTTGCTCTGATAAGACTGATTTTGGCAAACTTCTTACCCTCTGAGAAAACAGAGGGAGGGTGGGCGGGGCTAGTACTTGCTAAGATAAGACAGATTTTGGCAAATCCTATACCCTCTGAGAAAATAGGGGCGGGTGGGCGGGGCTAGTATTTGGTAAGATATGACTGATTTTGGCAGATGACATATCCTCTGAGAAAATAGGGGGCGGGTGGGCGGGGCTAGTACTTGGTAAGTTAAGACTTATTTCGGCAAATGACATATCCTCTGAAGAAATAGTCTTCTTTTGGCTTTTTAGATTTTATTCAGTAAGATTTTGTAGTTTCTGATTAAATCAATAAAATAAATTGGCACATTCATGATTTTTTTTGAGTGACCCTGTATAGGCAAATCCAAAAAATATGAATGGAATAATAAATTACAAGGACAGTTTCATCTCATTTTATATAAATTGGATAGGCAAAAGCTTTCGGTTTTGCTAATTCAAATTCAAATTGCAAAATGTTGTTTCATAATGTTGATCTTTCTTTTCAAAAATCTGTACGTTTCGAGTAAAGACTCAATACGGAATCATAAACTACATGTGTAGGATTATGTTGTTCCATTTAATTTAAAACCCATTTATAGTTTTGGAAATTTCATTCTACCCTATAAAATTTTATTGGCAATAACGAGATGGACATTAGTACAAAAGCAAGACATATTTATAACTTAAAGTTGTCGCGTGCCGGCAATCGCCAGATGTTAGAAAGCAGAATAATCCAGGTCCGGACAGGAACCATCGTTACTCACGAACGAAAATGACCATTATTTTATTAGTACAATTATCTGCTTAATGTTCTCTTACAAATTGAGGTAAACTAGTGTGGTCTGGTTGTTGTCAATAAAATTTTGTAGGGTAGAATGAAATTTCCAAAACTATACTATGCACAATTTTGAAGAGACGTCATTATTGGTGGGGATGATTAGGGACGGCAGACGAACTGACAGACGGACAGTTAGATGGAAACGGGAGATTTCTTCGTACTCTAGGGGTCATCAAAGGTGGAGCAAACGTAAAAGTAGAGGGTCGCTCGCTTACGCTCGGGAAGTAATAAAAAATGCATCGATTTAACCTAGATGAACTTCAACCTAATATCTCATCGAGATATATACATAATTCTGTTAGTCCGGTCAAAATAGACATTTCAAATTTTATTTGATCACAATTTTGATGTCTATTTTGACCGGACTATATGTCTTACTCCATATGCTCTTTCGTTAAATTAGTACTAACGACGATTTGTGACCTGACATGTCACGTTATTTGTTACTGTATTTTTTTAATAAACGTTGTGTAACACATATTTTTTATCAAGTTTCTCTAAAATATTTGTCGTTTGTGTTGTTGTTGTCAAATTTTGTTTTGTTTATGTTTCTTCTCTTCGTAAAAAATCTTCTATGACTGTATTATCAAAATTTCAGAAAATGGACCAAGATTAGAAAATAACAAAAGACAAATTATTGATTCTAGACTGACGAGCGTTATTTCAATTTATCACCACCAGTCCAAATCGGAAGTGCGTGGAATTAACCTAAATGAACTTCAGCCTAATATTTCATGGAGATATATGCATAATTCTGTATTGTGCTACGCAACATCTGTTTTCCAAATATGTTTGGTTCCACTCACAAACATTTATAAATTCTGTAGTATATTAAGTTTGGTACAACATTTGAATCACATTTTTGGGTTCGTAGACGAATTAACATGAATAAACCAGATAAAAAATTACAAGCGTAAGTTTGCAATAACATAGTAACAATTTTTGTTATGGATTTTTAGGGCACTTGGTCGCAAATTCGTGATTAGAAATTCGTACCTTACAGACGTTTTTGAGAAAAAAGAGGCACGTGTTGTCTACAACTTATTCGCAGTATTCGCCATTTCTGCTTTTGTTAGAAAAGGGTACACGGAATATGTGACCGAGGGAAGGTAGTGAACAACGAATTAATTAACAGTTCCAAAAATAAAACCCAATTTTAGGGTACGCTTTGGGTTTGATTTTCTGACATTCATGTTTATTGACTTTGACAAGACGTTGTTAATTTGGTCAAGTTGTCTAGGGGCGTCCTGTGCGTGCTTCTTGTGTTTTAGAATCTGGGCCTCTTTCAGGAAATTCAACGAAAGTAAGTTAGCTCATTGTTCGAAACCAATAGGTTCTAGTATTTTAGGATTTACAAAATTTTGGGACTTGGGTTGGACCACGTTGCTGCTCTTTTATTATTTCCACAGTTTCAAACTAACTGGTGAAGCGATCCGATTTTACAAACTTCCCTTCGTAGCTCGTTTGTTTTGTGCTCTGGAATCTGTAAGTGAATATTCAGGTGGTCAAAATTTTGGGTAATGTTTAGTTTTAGGTACGACTGATAATGAAATCGCACTCTTTCGTAAGAAATACGCTTCCAGGGGTAATTCGTTCGAGCGACCGGCCAAACCTTCCAAGCTTTTCTAGCTACGCACGATTTCTTTTCTTACCCACTCTTATTTACCAGGAAAACTATCCTCTAAGAAAAAAAATCAACTGGAAGTTTTTCTTCAAAACTTTAGTCGAATTTGTGGTTGGAATATTTATACTGAGTTTTCGTTTTGAGAAAGGTTGGAGCTTCATACAGGAAACAGTTCTGAGAAAATTCACAGTGAGCGAAATTATGCAGGACGTTGTAGAGAACTCTACTGAAGTTGCGTTTTTGATTATGATTTTACACTATGTTTGTTTGCATTGTATTCAAAATTTATTTGGAGAACTTTTTCGCTTTGGAGATAGGTTGTTCTACACAAACTGGTGGGATTTACTTGATTTGAATACTAGTTTAGTAAAGTGGAATTTAATTGTTGCGCAGTGGATATACTATTATGTTTATTTGGACTTTAAGAATTATGTCCGTGATAACGTGTTTGCAATAAGATTGGTATCTTTTGTGCTTTCGTTTGTTGTTCATGAGTGGTTAGGGTACCACTTGTGGAATACCACCTGTCCACTGTTGTTTATATTTTTTATTTTTATTGTATTTCCCACGTTTTACTTCGAGGTTCCTGACCGCAATGTTTTCGTTATTTTAAATACGTATTTAATTACTTCGATTCCAACTCTTGTAGTACTTTATGGCGCCGAATATTACATTTCCATTAATGTACCATTCGACAATCGATCACGTCTGGAGCAGCTGTTTTTGCCGAGGTTTATAAATTACATAACGTGGGAATGATTGGTTTTGTTTTTATGTACAGCATCGAAGTACCATTTTGTAACATTTTGTCAAATGTGAGTACCATGTAGGGTAAGCGAAGAAAAATGTTGCTTCTCCGGTGGGAATCGAACTGCACGTTTACCGCTTGCCGGGCGGTGTCCTTACCGCTAGACTACGGAGGAGCTTATCTTTATTCGCTTACCATTACTTATTATTGTGTCGCCACAACCACTTTCTCGGTAAAAAATTTGTTATATATATCTTTAAGTTGGTTTTTTGTTGTACCAAGTGTCCCTAAAAAGTATGTCGTCTGTGTCAATTTTTATTAAACAAATAAATAGTTGTTTTTATCTTGGTAGGTAGATATTCGTTTTTCCCATAATTGAACAGTGAACTTCAAAACACCACACAGAGGCACGCTCGAATCTCGTATATAATGTATCCATAACCACTAGATATGGAAAAAAAAACAAAATTTAGGCTAGCCTTAATTTCCGTGCTTGCAGCAGTGACAGATAATAATACTTCAGCACGATGTGACAATGTCTTAAAAGACACGAACTGAATGATAAACAACAGAAAATAAGGAAATTTTTTCCCGAAATTCTTAATTTATTGTTAATCAAAAATAAAATAGATTTTCTGGCATAAAAAAATTACATATCTTTGCCTTGCTTAATGTTTCCAAAAATCCATTTTTTGTCAAAAAATTTCTATGTGAACCCTTAAAAACGCAAGCACGACAGTAATTTTTTTTATATTTAGATATGGGGGCATTTTGTGCCTTGCCTCATCACTCGTCAGTTCATGTTTTATATATTTTTTCCAACAATTGTTTTTCTCATTGATTATTATTATTTCTCTGGTCCAATATTCTGTACATTGTTCCTTTTGTTTGTTATTTTTGCACTTCCACAGCTCTTTCTTGCTGCATCTAGCAAGCTGTTTATTCGTTCCATTCTTCTTTTAATTCAAACGTTCTGATTCCTATAATTTTGCAATTATTTAGTATCTCTCTCTATCCACCCGTCCCGTATTTTCTCAAAGGATGTCATTTGCCGAAATAAGACTTATGTGAGCAAGTATTAGCCCCGCCCACCCACCCTATGTTTTCTTAGAGGATATGTCATCTGCCAAAATCAGTCATATATTACCAAATACTAGCCCCACCCACCCGCCCTTTATTTTCTCAGAGGGTACTACTTGCTGGTACTTGCTAAAATAAATCTTATGTTGGCAGATGACATATACCCTGAGAAAATAGGGGGGAGGGCGGGGCTAGTACTTGCTCTGATAAGACTGATTTTGGCAAACTTCTTACTCTCTGAGAAAACAGAGGGAGGGTGGGCGGGGCTAGTACTTGCTAAGATAAGACTGATTTTGGCAAATCCCATACCCTCTGAGAAAATAGGGCCGGGTGGGCGGGGCTAGTATTTGGTAAGATATGACTGATTTTGGCAGATGACATATCCTCTGAGAAAATAGGGGGCGGGTGGGAGGGGCTAGTACTTGGTAAGGTAAAACTTATTTCGGCAAATGACAAATCCTCTGAAGAAATAGTCTTCTTTTGGCTTTTTAGATTTTATTCAGTAAGATTTTGTAGTTTCTGATTAAATCAATAAAATAAATTGGCACATTCATGATTTTCTTTGAGCGACCCTGTATAGGCAAATCCAAAAAATATGAATGGAATAATAAATTAGAAGGACAGTTTCATCACATTTTATATAATTTGGATAGACAAAAGCTTTCGGTTTTGCTAATTCAAATTCAAATTGCAAAATGTTGTTTCATAATGTTGATCTTTCTTTTCAAAAATCTGGACGTTTCGAGTAAAGACTCAATACGGAATCATAAACTACATGTGTAGGATTATGTTGTTCCATTTAATTTAAAACCCATTTATAGTTTTGGGAATTTTATTCTACCCTATAGAATTTTATTGGCAATAACGAGACGGACATTAGTACAATAGCAAGACATATTTATAACTTAAAGTTGTCGCGTGCCGGTAATCGCCAGATGTTAGAAAGCATAATAATCCAGGTCCGGACAGGAACCATTGTTACTCACGAACGAAAATGACCATTATTTTATGAGTACAATTAGCTGCTAAATGTTCTCTTACAAATTGAGGTAAACTGGTGTGAGCCATAAATATTTGTTATCATTGTTCTACTGTCCGTCTCGTTGTTGTCAATAAAATTTTGTAGGGTAGAATGAAATTTCCAAAACTATACTATGCACAATTTTGAAGAGACGTCATATTGGTGGGGATGATTAGGGACGGCAGACGGACCGACAGACGGACAGTTAGATGGAAACGGGAGATTTCTTCGTACTCTAGGGGTCATCATAGGTTGAGAAAACGTAAAAGTAGAGGATCGCTCGCTCGGGAAGTAATAAAAAATGCGTCGATTTAACCTAGATGAACTTCAACCTAATATCTCATGGAGATATATACATAATTTGATGATCACATTTTTTTTTGTCTTACTCCATCTGCTCTTTCGTTAAATGAGTACTAATGACGAATTTTGACCTGACATTGTCACGTTATTTGTATCTGTATTTTTTTAATAAACGTTGTGTAACACATATTTTTTATCGAGTGTCAATAAAATATCTGTCGTTTGTGTTGTTGTTGTTGTCAAATTTTGTTTTGTTTTTGTTTCCTCTCTTTCTCTTCGTAAAAATTCTTCTATGATTGTATTATCAAAATTCAGAAAATTATTTCAATTTATCACCAGCAGTCCAAGTGGGAAGTGCGTCGAATTAACCTAAATGAACTTCAGCCTAATGTTTCATGGAATAGTATATCTTTAAGAATTATGTCTGTGATAACGTGTTTACAATAAGATTGGTGTCTTTTGTGCTTTCGTTTGTTTTTCATGAGTGGTTAGGGTACCACTTGTGGAATTCCACCTGTCCGCTGTTGTTTATATATTTTTTTTTTATTGTATTTCCCACGTTTTACTTCGAGGTTCCTGACCGCAATGTTTTCGTTATTTTAAATACGTATTTAATTACTTCGATTCCAACTCTTGTAGTACTTTATGGCGCCGAATATTACATTTCCATTAATGTACCATTCGACAAACGATCACGTCTGGAGCAGCTGTTTTTGCCGAGGTTTATAAATTACATAACGTGGGAATGATAGGTTTTGATTTTATGTACAGCATCGAAGTACCATTTTGTAACATTTTGTCAAATGTGAGTACCAGGTAGGGTAAGCGAAGAAAAATGTTGCTTCTCCGGTGGGAATCGAACTGCACGTTTATCGCTTGCCGGGTGGTGTCCTTACCACTAGACTACGGAGGAGCTTACCTTTATTCGCTTACCATTACTTATTGTTGTGTCGCCACAACCACTTTCTCGGTAAAAAATTTGTTATATATATCTTTAAGTTGTTTTTTTGTTGTACCAAGTGTCCCTAAAAAGTATGTCGTCTGTGTCAATATTTATTAAATAAATAAATAGTTATTTTTATCTTGGTAGGTAGATATTCGTTTTTCCCATAATTGAACAGTGAACTTCAAAACACCACACAGAGGCAGGCTCGAATCTTGTATATAATGTATCCATAACCACTAGATATGGAAAAAAAAAATTTAGGCTAGCCTAAATTTCCATGCTTGCAGCACTGACAGATAATAATACTTCAGCACGATGTGACAATGTCTTAAAAGACACGAACTGAATGATAAACAACAGAAAATAAGGAATTTTTTTCCCGAAATTCTTAATTTATTGTTAATCAAAAATAAAATAGATTTTCTGGCATAAAAAATTACATATCTTTGCCTTGCTTAATGTTTCCAAAAATCCATTTTTGTCAAAAAATTTCTATGTGAACCCTTAAAAACGCAAGCACGACAGTAATTTTTTTTATATTTAGATATGGGGGCATTTTGTGCCTTGCCTCATCAAGTCGTCAGTTCATGTTTTATATATTTTTTCCAACAATTGTTTTTCTCATTGATTATTATTATTTCTCTGGTCCAACATTCTGTACATTGTTCCTTTTGTTTGTTACTTTTGCAGTTCCACAGCTCTTTCATGCTGCATCCAGCAAGCTATTTATTCGTTCCATTCTTCTCAGAGGATATATCATCTGCTAAAATCACTCATATCTTACCAAGTACTAGCCCCACCCACCCGCCCTTTATTTTCTTAGAGGGTAAGACTTGCTAGTACTTGCTAAGATAAATCTTATTTTGGCAGATGACATATACCCTGAGCAAATAGGGGTGGGTGGGCGGGGCTAGTACTTGCTCTGACAAGACTGATTTTGGCAAACTTCTCACCCTCTGAGAAAACAGAGGGAGGGTGGGCGGGTCTAGTACTTGCTAAGATAAGACTGATTTTGGCAAATCCCACACCCTCTGAGAAAATAGGGGCGGGTGGGCGGGGCTAGTATTTGGTAAGATATGACTGATTTTGGCAGATGACATATCCTCTGAGAAAATAGGGGGCGGGTGGGCGGGGTTAGTACTTGGTAAGGTAAGACTTATTTCGGCAAATGACATATCCTCTGAAGAAATAGTCTTCTTTTGGCTTTTTAGATTTTATTCAGTAAGATTTTGTAGTTTCTGATTAAATCAATAAAATAAATTGGCACATTCATGATTTTTTATGAGTGACCCTGTACAGGCAAATCCAAAAAATATCAATGGAATAATAAATTACAAGGGCAGTTTCATCACATTTGATATAATTTGGATAGGCAAAAGCTTTCGGTTTTGCTAATTCAAATTCAAATTACAAAATGTTTCATAATTTTGATCTTTTTTTTTCAAAATTCTGAACGTTTCGAGTAAAGACTCAATACGGAATCATAAACTAAATGTGTAGGATTATGTAATTCCATACAATTTAAAACCCATTTATAGTTTTGGAAATTTCATTCTACCCTATAAAATTTTATTGGTAATAACGAGACGGACACTAGTGCAATAGCAAGACATATCTACAACTTAATCATTTTGTACATAATCGCTGTGTGAATTTGAGTTTCTAAGAAACAAATTATTGAATTTTACCCACGCCGATTTTAAATACCCGTTCAACATAATCAAGGGAAATCTAACGTCCATGATGAAAACTTCTCCCGGTCATATTGTTGTGAGTTTCTCAAATAGCTAGATCATATTGAGCAGCCTAGCTCAAGGAGGACATTAGAGAAGGGTAATGAGTTCCAGTCATGGAGATATACATAATTCTGCAATGCATAGTGTCACCTCTATTGTCCAAATATGCGACGTCGTTTTAACATTCATAAGTTATGTATTCAGTTCACATATTCTCGGTTCATAGACGAATTAGCATGGATTCTAGAGACAGTAAACCAGATAAAAAATTACAAGCGTAAGTTTGCAATATAAGAGTAACATTTTTACTATATGCATTCTTAGGACACTAGGTTACGAATTCGTGATTAGAAATTCTTATTTCACCGTTGTTTTTGAAAAAAGAGTGGCACGTGTTGTCTACAACTTATTCGCAGTATTCTGAACTATATTCCAACATTTTTTGATGATTCTGAGCGACGAAACACACTTAGAGCATGCAGAATCGTCTCAGATTAGGAAAAGGAGACGTTTGGGTCAATTTTATGCATTCTGGCGTTCGTAGATACAAGAAGATTGTTAAAATTCTTCAGAAACGTCACTTTTGAAGTGTTTTCTTGTGGTTTTAACCCAATCAGAAACCCTACGAGCTCGGAAAGAGCAACGAAACCATCAAATTTTAGCTAGAAACACTATTTTTGTCGATTTTTATTAAATCCGAACTATACACTAGGAGGACATCAGAGAAGTGTAATGAGTTCCAGTCTAAAGTTTCATGGAGATATACATAATTCTGCAATGCATAGCGTCACCTCTATTGTCCAAATATGCGACGTCGCATTCACAAGTTTTAACATTCATAAGTTATGTATTCAGTTCACATATTCTCGGTTCATAGACGAATTAACATGGATTCTAGAGACAGTAAACCAGATAAAAAATTACAAGCGTAAGTTTGCAATAAAAGAATAACATTTTTTATTATATGCATTTTAGGACACTAGGTTACAAATTCGTGGTTAGAAATTCTTATTTCACCGACGTTTTTGAAAAAGGAGAGGCACGTGTTATCTACAACTTATTCGCACTATTCGCCATTTCTGCTTTTGTTAGAAAAGGTTACACCGAATATGTGACCGAAGGAAGGTAGTCAACAACGAATTAATTAACATTTCCAAAAATAAAACCCAATTTTAGGGTACGCTTTGGGTTTGATTTTCTGACATTCATGTTTGTCGACTTTGACAAGACGCTTTTAGTTTGGTCAAGTTGTCTAGGGGCCTCCTGTGCGTGCTTCTTCTGTTTTAGAATCTGGGCTTCCTTCAGGAATTTCAACGAAAGTAAGTTAGCTCTTTGTTCGAAACAAATACGTTTTAGTGTTTTAGGTTTTAAAAAATTTTGGGACTTGGGTTGGACTACGCTGCTGCTCTTTTATTATTTCTACAGTTTCAAACTAACTGGTGAAGCTATCCGATTTTACAAACTTCCCCTCGTAGCTCGCATGTTTTGTGCGCTGGAATCTGTAAGTGAATATTCAGGTGGTCAAAATTTTGGGTGACGTTGAGTTTTAGGTACGAGTGGTGATGAAATCGCACTCTTTTGTGAGAAATACGCTTCCAGGTGTAATTCATTCGGGCGACTGGCTACACCTTCCAAGCTTTTCCAGCTACGCACGTTTCCTCTTCTTACCCACTCTTATTTACCACGAAAATTACCCTCTAAGAAAAGAAATCAACTGGAAGTTTTTCTTCAAAACTTTAGTCGAACTTGTAGTCGCACTATTTATAATTAATTTTCGTCTTGAGAAAGGATGGAGATTCATACACGAAATAGGTTTGCGGAAATTCACAGTGACCGAAATTGTGTATGACGCCCTAGAAAACTCAATCGAAGACGTCTTTTCGGTTATATTCGTGCACTACATTTTGCTTCATTGTATTCAAAATTTGTTTGGGGAGCTGTTACGCTTTGGAGACAGGTTGTTCTACACAAACTGGTGGGATTTAGTTGATTTAACAACTAGTTTAGTAAAGTGGAATTTCCTTGTTGCGGTTTGGATATACTATTATGTTTATGTAGACTTTAAGAACTATGTCTGTGATAATGTGTTTTTAACAAGACTGGTATCTTTTGTGCTTTCGTTTGTTGTTCATGAGTGGTGCGCGTACCACTTGGGCAATACCATCTGTACATTGGTGTTCATATTTTTTATTTTTATCGTATTTCCTACATTTTACTTCGAGCTACCTGACCGCAATATTGTCGTTATTTTAAATGCGTGTTTATTTACTTTGTTTCTAAATGTTGTCAGACTTTATGCTGCCGAATATTACATTTCAATTAACGTACCTATCGACAATCGATCACGTCTGGAGCAGATGTTTTTGCCCAGGTTTATAAATTACATAGGGTGGGAATGATTGGTTTTGTTTTTATGTTCAGTGTGTTGCTCTATGTATCATTTTATAGCTTTGTATCAAATGTGAGTACCACTTTTTCGGTAAAATATAAAATTTGCAAAATAGAACTATTGGGTGTGCCCATAAATGAAGTTTTGGAAAAACCCGTTGACATTACTAGAAAACGTTGTTATTTCTTATTTCCCCATTTTCATTCTTTTCCATCTGTGACAATTTTTGGTACGTAATTTTGACTTGTCTTGATTTCCTCTTTTCCTGTGTAGCCACTTGTCGCATTATTTGTTGTAATTCTAATTCCTTCATTGTTAATTCGTTATTTTTATATACTTTTTCTTCCATTGTCTTTAGTTTATTTTATTTACTATAATCTCGCATGTATTCTGCATACACGTTTTACCCTCTGGGAGTTACACTTTTATTCAAATTTCTTATGTTTATTCAGAGTTCTTATTAAAATATGTACTTTTTCTTTTTATCTGTTATCCTTTTTAGATGAATCGATGGATATCCAATGGCACTCCCAACTGTCTTTTTTAAAAATGTGAAACCTTCTAGGAAGTCCCAATTGTCTTTTTTAAAAATTGTAAAACCTTCTCGGGGCTCCCACCTGTCTTTTTTAAAAAAGTAAAACCTTCTCGGGGACCCCGAATGTACTATGTATGTAAAAATGTAAAACCTTCTCGGAGGTCCCAGTTGTCTTTTTTAAAAATGTGAAACCTTCTCGGGACTCCCACCTGTCTTTTGTATAAATGTAAAACCTTCTAGAGGACCCCAAATGTACTATGTATTTAAAAATTTAAAACCTTTTCGGAGGCCCCAAATGTAGCTCCCACTTGTCTTTTTTATAAATGTAACACCTTCTCGGAGGTCCCAACTGTCTTTTTTAAAAATGTGAAACCTTTTTTGGGCGCCACAAATGTATTGTTTTAAACCTTCTCGAGGCTCCCAATTTACTTTTTTAAAAATGTAAAACCTTCTCGGGGGCCCCAAATGTATTATATTATTTACAAATGTAAAACCTTTTTGAGGGTCCTAATTGTCTTTTTTAAAAATTGTAAAACCTTCTCGGGGCTCCCACCTGTCTTTTTTATAAATGTAAAACCTTCTCGGGGGTCCCAAATGTATCCAAAATTCAATTTCAACCATAATTACAGCACAAGACGTCAAGATATTTTATTTAAAAATTTACGACTAACAAAATCTAGAGATGGCACTAATTATGTTTGCATTAAACTTTTAAATGCTTTACCAAAAACAATACATAGAAATAATTATACATCAAAAATTTTCTTGAAATATTTAAAAGCATATTTAATCGAGACGGCCTTTTATTCATTAGAGGAGTTTTGATGACTTATTAGTAGTGCAGTTTAACAATTCCTAGCTTAACGTAAGGTATATTGCATTATTAGATTATATTATATTGTATTAATTAGGAAATTGTATTTTAGAGTTGATGTTAATTACCATCAATCCATAATGTTTTCTTTTCTGTGACGTGTGTAAACTTAAGTTTTTAGCACAAATAAAATTCTATTCTATTCTATTCTATTCTATTCTATACACGTTTTCCCCTCTTTGACTTACACTTTTATTCCAATTTCCTATGTTTGTTCAGAGTTCTTATTAGATTATGTACTTTTTCTTTTTATCTGTTATCCATGCATAACCAACGGCACTCCCAACCGTCTTTTTTTTAATGTAAAACCGTCTCGGGGCTCACAAATTGTCTTTTTTAAAAATGTGAAACCATTTCGGCGTCCCAAATGTATCGTTTAAAAATGTGAAATCTTCTCGGGAGACCCAACTGTCTTTTTTAAAAATGTAAAACCTTCTCGGCGGCCTCAAATGTACTCTCTAAGAATGTGAAACTTTCTAAGGGATCCCAACTGTCTTTTTTAAAAATGTAAAAACTTCTCGGAGGTCCCAACTGTCTTTTTAAAAATGTGAAACCTTCTCGGGGGCCACAAATGTATTGTTTTAAACCTTCTCGGGGCTCCCAATTTACTTTTTTAAAAATGTAAAACCTTCTCGAGAGCCTCAAATGTGAAACTTTCTAGGGGAATTCAACTGTCTTTTAAAAATGTAAAACCTTCTCGTAGGCCCCAAATGTATTATTTAAAAATGTAAAACCTTCTCGGGGGTTTTAATTGTCTTTTTTAAATATTGTAAATCATTCTTGTGGCTCCCACCAGTCTTATTTAAAAATGTAAAACCTTCTCGGATGTCCCAAATGTTTTTTTTTTAAATGTGAAACCTTCTCGGGGGACCTAGTTGTCTTTTTTAAAAATGTAAAACCTTCTCGAGGGCCCCAAATGCCTTGTTTAAAACTGTGAAACCTTCTCGGGGATCCCAATTGTCTTTTTTAAAAATGTAAAATCTTCTCGGGGGTTCCATCTGTCTTTTTTAAAAATGTAAAACCTTCTCGGGGGTCCCAAATGTATTATGTATTTAAAAATGTAAAACCTTCTCGGGGACACCAAATGCATTACATATTTAAAAATGTGAAACCTTCTAGTGGGTCTCAGTTGTCTTTTTTAAAAATGTAAAACCTTCTCAAGAACCCCTAATTTATTGTTTAAAACTGTGAAACCTGCTCGGGTCCCAACTGTCTTTTTTAGAATTGTAAAACCTTCTCGGTGGCCCCAAATGCATTATGTATTTAGAAATTTGAAACCTACTCGGGGACACCAAATGTATTATGTATTTAAAAATGTCAACCTTCTCGGAGGTCCCAATTTCCTTTTTTGAAAATTGTAAAACCTTCTGGGGGCTCCCACCTGCCGTTTTAAAATTTTAAACCTTCTCGCGGGCCCCAAATGTATTATTTAAAAATGTAAAACCTTCTCGGGTGTCCCAATTGTGTTTTTTAAAAATTGTAAAACCTTCTCGGGGGCCCCAAATGTATTATGAATTTAAAAATTTAAAACCTTCTCGGGGACACCAAATGTATTATTTAAAAATGTAAAACCTTCTCGGGTGTTCCAATTGTGTTTATTAAAAATTGTAAAACCTTCTCGGGGCTCTCACCTGTAACAAATAAAACCTTCTCGGATGTCCCAACTGTCTTTTGTATAAGTGTGAAACCTTCTCGGGGGTCTCAGTTGTCTTTTTTAAAAATATAAAACCTTCTCGGGGACACCAAATGTATTATGTATTAAAAAATGTAAAACCTTCTTGGAGGTCTCAATTGTCTTTTTTAAAAATTGTAAAACCTTTTCGGGGTTTCCAACTATCTATTTTAATAATGTAAATCCTTCTCGGGAGCCCCAAATGTATTATGTATTTAAAAATGTAAAACCTTCTCCGAAGTCCCACCTGTCATTTTAAAAATATAAAACCTTCTCGGATGTCCCAACTGTCTTTCTCATAAATGTGAAACCTTCTCGGGGGTCCCAGTTGTCTTTTTTAAAAATGTAAAACTTTCTCGAGGGCCCTAAATGTATTGTTTAAAACTGTGAAACCTTCTCGGGGGTCCCAATTGTCTTTTTTAAAAATGTAAAATCTTCTCGGGAGACCCAACTGTCTTTTTTAAAAATGTAAAACCTTCTCGGCGGCCTCAAATGTACTTTCTAAGAATGTGAAACTTTCTAAGGGATCCCAACTGTCTTTTTTAAAAATGTAAAAACTTCTCGGAGGTCCCAACTGTCTTTTTTAAAAATGTGAAACCTTCTCGGGGGCCACAAATGTATTGTTTTAAACCTTCTCGGGGCTCCCAATTTACTTTTTTTAAAATGTAAAACCTTCTCGAGAGCCTCAAATGTGAAACTTTCTAGGGGAATTCAACTGTCTTTTAAAAATGTAAAACCTTCTCGTAGGCCCCAAATGTATTATTTAAAAATGTAAAACCTTCTCGGGGGTTTTGATTGTCTTTTTTAAATATTGTAAATCATTCTTGTGGCTCCCACCTGTCTTATTTAAAAATGTAAAACCTTCTCGGATGTCCCAACTGTTTTTTTTTAAATGTGAAACCTTCTCGGGGGTCCCAGTTGTCTTTTTTAAAAATGTAAAACCTTCTCGAGGGCCCCAAATGTCTTGCTTAAAACTGTGAAACCTTCTCGGGGGTCCCAGTTGTCTTTTTTAAAAATGTAAAACCTTCTCGAGGGCCCCAAATGTCTTGCTTAAAACTGTGAAACCTTCTCGGGGGCCCCAAATGTATTATGTATTTAAAAATGTAAAACCTTTTCGGGGACACCAAATGCATTATATATTTAAAAATGTGAAACCTTCTCGGGGGTCCTAGTTGTCTTTTTTAAAATTGTAAAACCTTCTCAAGGGCCCTAAATTTATTGTTTAAAACTGTGAAACCGGCTCGTGGTCCCAACTGTCTTTTTTAAAAATGTAAACCCTTTTCGGGGGCCCCAAATGTGTTATGTATTTAAAAGTTTAAAACCCTCTCGGGGGCACCAAATGTATTATTTAAAAATGTAAAACCTTCTCGGGTGTCCCAATTGTGTTTTTTAAAAATTGTAAAACCTTCTCGGGGGACTCACCTGTCATTTTAAAAATATAAAACCTTCTCGGATGTCCCAACTGTCTTTTTTATAAATGTGAAACCTTCTCAGGGGTCCCAGTTGTCTTTTTTAAAAATATAAAACCTTCTCGGGGACACCAAATGTATTATGTATTAAAAAATGTAAAACCTTCTTGGAGGTCTCAATTGTCTTTTTAAAAAATTCTAAAACCTTCTCGGGGTTTCCAACTGTCTATTTTAAAAATGTAAATCCTTTTCGGGGGCCCCAAATGTATTATGTATTTAAAAATGTAAAACCTGCTCGGAAGTCCCACCTGTCATTTTAAAAATATAAAACCTTCTCGGATGTCCCAACTGTCTTTTTTATAAATGTGAAACCTTCTCGGGGGTCCCAGTTATCTTTTTTAAAAATGTAAAACTTTCTCGAGGGCCCCAAATGTCTTGCTTAAAACTGTGAAACCTTCTCGGGGGTGCCAATTGTCTTTTTTAAAAATGTAAAATCTTCTCGGGGGATCCATCTGTCTTTTTTAAAAATGTAAAACCATCTCGGGGGCCCCAAATGAATTATGTATTTAAAAATACAAAACCTTCTCGGAGGTCCCAATTGTCTTTTTTAAAAATTGTAAAACCTTCTCGGGGCTTCCAACTGTCTTTTGTAAAAATGTAAAACCTTCTCGCGTACACCAAATGTATTATGTATTTAAAAATGTAAAACCTTCTCGGAGGTCCCACCTGTCATTTTAAAAATATATAACCTTCTCGGTTGTCCCAACTGTCTTTTAAAACTGTGAAACCTTCTCGGATGTCCCAACTGTCTTTTTTAAAACTGTGAAACCTTCTCGGGGCTTCCAATTGTCTTTATTAAAAATCTAAAACCTTCTCGGGGGCCCCAAATGTATTATGTATTTAAAAATGCAAAACCTTCTCGGGGACACCAAATGTATTATGTATTTATAAATGTAAAACCTTCTCGGAGGTCCCAATTGTCTCTTTTAAAAATGTAAAAACCTTCTCGGGGGTCCCAGTTGTCTTTTTTAAAAATGTGAAACCTTCTCGGGGGTCCCAGCTGTCTTTTTTAAAACTGTGAAACCTTCTCGGGGGTCCCAGTTGTCTTCTTTAAAAATGTGAAACCTTCTCGGGGGCCCCAAATATATTATGTATATAAAAATGCAAAACCTTCTCGGGGACACCAAATATATTATGTATTTAAAAATGTAAAACCTTCTCGGAGGTCCCAATTGTCTTTTTTAAAAATTGTAAAACCTTCTCGGGGCTCCCACCTGTCTTTTTTAAAAATGTAAAACCTTCTCGGATGTCCCAACTGTCTTTTTTAAAAATGTGAAACCTTCTCGGGGGACCCAACTGTCTTTTTTAAAAATGTGAAACCTTCTCGGGGGTCCAACTGTCTTTTTTAAAAATCGAAAACCTTCTCGCGGGCCCCAAATGTATTGTTTAAAAATGTGAAACCTTCTCGGGGGTCCCAACTGTCTTTTTTAAAAATGTTAAACCTTCTCGGGGGCCTTGAATGTATTTTTTAAGAATGTGAAACCTTCTCTTGGTCCCAACTGTAAGTAAAACTGTTCTGTAAAACTGCATTTTTTATGTGTAAAGGAGGGGCGCCTAACGCAAGGTTCGCCTATACCTAAATATTCTCTAGTTTCGGCACTGCCAACAGCCATGACATTAGAGCAAAATTAGAGAATAAGAAAAGGCAAATTAATGGTTCTAGAATGACGAATTTTTATTTCAATTTGTCGGCGTCAATCCAAGTCGGAACTGCGTCGAATTGACCTAAATGAACCTCAGCCTAATATTTCATGGAGATATATACAATATACATAATTCTGTATTGTGTAACGTCACATCTATTGTCCAAATATGTTTGGTTGCGCTCAACCTTAAGATTTATAAATTCGGTTGTATATTAAGTTTTGTACAAACATCTCACATTTTTTGGTTCATAGACAAATTGACATGGATTCGAAGAAGAATAAACCAGACAGAAAATTACAAGCGTAAGTTTGGCTATAAAGTAGTACAAATTTTGCAGCATGGATTTTTAGGGTGCTAAGTCGCAAATTCGTGGTTAGAAATTCGTACTTCACCGACTTGTTTGAAAAAAAAGAGACACGCGTTATCTACAACTTGTTCGCAGTATTTGCCATTTCTGCATTTGTTAAAAAAGGGTACACCGAATATGTAACCGAGGGAAGGTAGCGAACCGAATTAATTAATAGTTCCAAAAATAAAAGCCGATTTTAGGGTACGTTTTGGAATTGATTTTCTGGCACTCATGTTTGTTGACTTTGACAAGACGCTTTTAATTTGGTCAAGTTGTCTAGGGGCGTCCTGTGCGTGTTTCTTTTGTTTTAAAATCTGGGCCTCCTTCAGGAATTTCAGCAAAAGTAAGTTAGCTCTTTGTTCGAAACAAATAAGTTGTAGAATTTTAGTTTCTACAAAATTTTGGGACTTGAGTTGGACTTCGTTGCTGCTCTTTTATTATTGGTACAGTTTCAAACTAACTGGTGACGCTGTCCGATTTTACAACCTTCCGATCGTAGCTCGCTTGTTTTGTGCGATGGAATGTGTAAGTGGATATTCAGGTGGCCAAAATTTTGGGTAACGTTGAGTTTTAGGTACGACTGGTGATGAAATCGCACTCTTTTGTAAGAAATACGCTTCCAGGGGTAATTCGTTCGAGCCACCGGCTACACCTTCCAAGTTTTTCCAGCTACGTACGATTCCTCTTCTTACCCACTCTTATTTACCACGAAAATTACCCCCTAAGAAAGGAAATCAACTGGAATTTTTTCCTGAAAACATTAGTCGAACTTGTGGTCGCAATATTTTTGGTCAGCTTTGGGATAGAAAAAATTTACATTTTCATACACGAAATAGGTCTGCGAAAATTCACAGTGACCGAAATTTTGCAGGCCGCCCTAGAGAACCACATTGAATATGGAGTATTTTTGCTTATGTTCGTGCACTATACTTGGTTTCATTGTGTTCAAAATTTATTCGGGGAACTTTTTCGCTTTGGAGATAGGTTGTTCCATACAAACTGGTGGGATTTAAGTGATATGAGAATGAGTTTAGTAAATTGGAATTTACTTGTTGTGGACTGGATATATTATTATGTTTATTTAGACTTTAAGAACTACGTCTATGATAACATTTTTGTAACAAGACTGGTATCTTTTTTGCTTTCGGTTGCTGTTCATGAGTGGTTCGGGTACCAGTTTTCGAGTAACGTGAGTCCAGTGATGTTTATATTATTTTTTTTTGTCGGGTTTCCTGCATTTTACTTCCAGCTTCCTGACCGAAATCTTTTTGTTCTTTTAAATTTGTATTTTATTACTTTGTCTATAACTCTTGGCATTCTTTACGCTGCCGAATATACCATTTCCATTAACGTACCTTGCGATAATCGATCTCGTCTGGAGCAGCTATTTTTGCCAAGGTTTATAGATTACATAACGTGGGAATGATTCGTTTTGTTTTGAAGTTTTATGTACTAATTAATTTATAGAGACTAATAATAACATTTGAGTCTTTGTCGTGCGTCTCTGAGCATTTAGAAAAATACATACAAAATGATAGGCGGCACGCTTCCATCACGCAATCATCAGCACAGATTAGAAAATAACCTTGTAAGAAACATCGCAGCTATTAGTCAGACATAGTTAAAGTGATTATCCCGAAGACTTCAACATTCTTGCTTTATTCAGTTTCCACTGTTTCTCTGTACGTTTGACACAATTACACTGAAGACTTGTAAGTCGGTTAGAATCCCCCGGCACATACTTTAAATAATGCAGGATGCACTTCAATCGCTGGGCATTTCATTGCTGAATTCCTTCAATACGAACTTCATGAATATTACCTTCAATAATGCGTTCGTTTCGCAGTGACGTGCCTCGCTTTCAAACACTTCTCTCTCTCTCAGCCTTCGGATATAATAGTAGAACCTGGTCGAGTTTCCGACATTCATATACTTTTTCGCCATCGCCGTATCAAAGGGAATATTAACGGGCATTCTCTTGACTGACGTCCGTTTAAGCGAATAACGATGCAAATTTGTTTGTGTTAAGAAACGGGGAAAAAGCAAAAATAACAAAAAAATTTGTTACATTTACATTCGAAAATTGTCTTCGTCTGTGTATGAATTTATTAGCATCTCGTTAATCTGCATAACCGTTTAGGCGCCGATACAGGCCTAAAGCTTTGTAACGAAATTAACAAAAAAGAAGAGATGCTTCAATTAAATCTCCCCATCAACAAATTAAATGAAGCGGAACTGGCAGCAGGCGCGACAAAGAAATTTCGTGCTGGATTGATCGACACTAGCGACTAGGCGTTATTGTCGAATTTAAGTTTTGCAAACTTACAGCTGCCATTAACTCATCAAAAACAGCTCCCAACTAAATTAGTCTCACCGGCTCTAGGAAATGCTTTTGTGTAATTTCGCGGAAACGTCAATTTTACTGGTGTAATAAAAGGCTGAATTCAACTACTTTCTTTAAACTATCGCAGGCACTTTTAGTTTTACAGTCACATGCTATGTTCTGGTGTTTTAACTACTTTGGGGAGCGAGGTGTTTGGTTTAGAAAAACGAACTGAGTGGAGTAGATGTGAATATTCTATGGTAAGTATAGGATGCTATTTACCGCTTTATTGTAAGGAACCGAGACGAAGTTCGCCTGAGGTCCTTTAGAAATATAGGTTCGCATTAAAGCACATCTTGTCGTTAATTACGGCACAACACTCTTGGCGCATTTATCTAATTCCCTTTGAATGGAGTTACTTCACACGTACGCATTATATTATTGAATAGGGAGTTGGATACATTCTAATTCCCATTTTCTAAATCCAGGGTTTATAAAGTGATGCGTGCATTTAAAATTATCACAATTGCACAAAAAAGCACAAGAAAAGTCTGCTGCATTTAAATCCGTCTCTTGAATGTCAGGTTAAATCAGGTCAAGTCAGATCAGGTCAGACGTATTCTCTGCCGTCTCATATTTTGTTTTCCGTTCTTTGATCATTATGGTCTTGATCTGATCTGATCTGATCTAACTTAAACACTAAATATTTCAGGAATTTCGCTTCCTTTATTTCTGACTTGACTTGATCAACAAAATTCTGCTTAAGTATTTCAGGATTTTTGCCATCCACACCATCTGCCTTGATCTGACCAGACCTGACTTTACTTTTTTCAGGATTTTCGCTGTCATTAATTTCGTTGTCCCATTGACCTGACTTGATTAACTAAAGTATCGTTTTTCAGAATTTCCTCGGTCTGATCTGATTTGTCCAGACCTATACTGACATGATCAAATATGTTCAAGTATTTAAAAATTTTCGTTATTCCAACTGATCTGCCTTGATCTTGCCTGAATGGCCTGAGCTGACTTGATCAAGCAGGCTCCGAATTTTTCAGACTTTTTCGTGTTTTTAGTTTCGTTGTGTCCATTGACCTGTTTTTTGAACTAAATTCTTAGTTTTTCAGAATTTTGCTGTCTGACCTGTTATAATTTGACCTGATTTGACTTGATCAAATAAACCTTAAATATTTGAGGATTTGTGCCGTTTTTAGATTTGTCTACCGACCTAAATCTAAAGTATTTCAGGATTTTTGCTATCTCACCTGTTCTGTGGTGATCTGATCAGTCATGACTTGATCTGACCTGATTTGATCAACCAGATATTAAATACCTATTTCGGGATTTCGCTGCCTTTAATTCTGTTATGTTCACTACCTTGATCTGATCTGCCCTAAATTGACATGACCTGACTTGATCAACTAAAATATAAATGTTTCAGAGTTATCACTTTCTTTAGTTTTGTAATGTCTTCTAACTTGATCCGACTTGATCAATAAACACTAAGTAATTGAGGATTTTCAGTGTCTCACTTGATCTGTCCTGATCTTTCCTGATGTGATCTGATCTAAATTGACATGTCTTGATCAATAATCCCTAAGTGTTTTCGGATTTTGCTGTCTGACGAATCTGACTTGACCTGACCTGACATTACCTGATTTGATCAAGTAACCTCTAGTAATTCAGGAATTTTGCTATCACTAATTTCCTTATGCCCACTAAACTGACCGGAGTTGATCAACTAAATTCTTAGTATTTCAGAATTTTCACTGCCTGACTTGATCTGACCTGATTGACCTGATATAGCCTGATCAACTGTATTGCAAATATTTCGAGATTTTCGCTGTCTTCAGTTTCGTTACGCCCACTGACTTAACCTGACTTGAACAACTAAATTCTAAGTATATATATATAAGATTTTCACATTATCTGCCCCGGCCTGACTTGATCAAGCAGATCCTAAATTTTTCTGGATTTTTCGGTGGCTTTAATTTCGTTACGTCCATTGTCCTGAAGCTTGATCAATTAAACTCCACATATTTGAACATTTTCACTCTCTTTAGCTTCGTTATTTCCACTAACCTGCCCTCATCTGATCATCTAAATCATAAGTATTGTAGGATTTTCGGTGTCCGACTTGATCTGTCATGATCCCATCTGATCTGACCTGACCTAATTTGATCAAGTCAGATCAGATTGGACCCTAAATATATTAGGATTTTCGACAATCTTTAGTTTTGATTTATTCTCTGACCGGATTCGACTTGATCAAACAAATTCTAAGCCCGTATTTCAGGATTCTCGTCATCCCATCTGAATTGACTTGATCTGACTGACTTGACCTGATTTGATTCACCAGACCCTAAACTTTTGAGAATTTTCGGTGTCTTTAATGCATTTTGATGTGACCTGAGTTGATCAACTGAATTCTTAGTTTTTCAGAATTTTCGTTGTCTGACTTGATCTGACCAGACCTGATTTAATCAATCAGACTTTATTTTTTTAGGATTTTCGCTATCATTAATTTCGTTGTCCCATTGAGCTGACTTCTTTAACTAAATTATTCGTTTTTCAGAATATCTTCTGTCTGATCTGATTTGTCCAGACCCGACATGATAAAATATGTTCTAACTATTTCAAGGTTTTCGTTATTCCAACTGATCTGCCTTGATCTTGCCTGAATGGCCTGACCTGACTTGATCAAGCAGGCCTTGAATTTGTAAGGCTTCTTCGTGTCTTTAGTTTTGTTGTGTCCATTGACCTGATTTGATTTTTTGAACTAAATTCTTAGTCCTTCAGAATTTTGCTGTTTGACCTGTTCTAATTTGACCTGATTTGACTTGACCAAATAAACCCAAAATATTTGAGGATTTGTCCCGTTTTTAGATTTGTCTACCGACCTAAATCCAAAGTATTTCAGGATTTTCGCTATCTCACCTGTTCTGTGGTGATCTGATCAGTCATGACTTGATTTGACTTGATTTGATCAACCAAATATTAAATACCTATTTCGGGATTTTCGCTGCCTATAATTCCGTTATGTTCACTGGCTTGATCTGATCTGCCCTAAATTGACATGACCTGACTTGATCAATAAACACATAGTAATTCAGGATTTTCAGTTTGTCACTTGATCCATCTAATCTTTCCTGATGTGACCTGATCTAAATTGACATATCTTGATCAATAATCCCTAAGTGTTTTCGGATTTTGCTGTCTGACGAATCTGACTTGACCTGACCTGACATTACCTGATTTGATCAAGTAACCTCTAGTAATTCAGGAATTTTGCTATCACTCATTTCCTTATGCCCACTAAACTGACCGGAGTTGATCAACTAAATTCTTAGTATTTCAGAATTTTCACTGCCTGATTTGATCTGACCTGATTGACCTGATCTAACCTGATCAATTGTATTGCAATTCAGTTTCGTTAACCCCACTGACTTAACCTGACTTGAACAGCTAAATTCTAAGTACTTCAGGATTTTCACCTTATCTGCCCCGGCCTGACTTGATCAAGCAGATCCTAAATTTGTCTGGATTTTTCGGTGGCTTTAGTTTCGTTATGTCCATTGTCCTGACCTAAATTTATTAGGATTTTCGGAGTCTTTATTAGTTTTGATTTATTCTCTGACCGGATCTGACTTGATCAAACAAATTCTAAGGCCGTATTTCAGGATTTTTGCCATGTCATCTGGACTAACTTGATCTGACTGACTTGACCTGACTTGATTAACCAGACCCTAAACTTTTGTGAATTTTCGGTGTCTTTAATGGATTTTGTTGTGACCTGAGTTGATCAACTAAATTCTTGCTTTTTCAGAATTTTCGTAATCTGACCTACCCTGACTTGATCAACTAAATCCTAGGTATTTCAGGCTTTTCACTGTTTGACCTGATTTGCTTTTAGTTTCGTTATGTCCACTGCCATGATCTGACTTGATCAACTAAATTTTAAGTATTTCGGGATTTTAGTTAACTCATCTTATCTGCCGTGATCTAACCAGAACTGACCTGACCTGACTTAATCAACTAAATAGTTAATATTTCAGAATTTTTGTTATCCACCTTGATTTGTTCCAGGATTTTCGCAAATCCAACTA